TAATAAAGGTACTTTCAAAATGGATAAAAGCATAGACTAGTGATGGAAAATATTTTATCCAGATTTCCGTCCACAACCCTCTTCTGGAACAGAATTGGCTGATCCCTCACTCGACTTAATCCTAATTTATTTGCAATCGCTATCGACTTATGATTTGAATCCCAGCAAAGGTATAACAATTGATTCCTCTTATTTGGTGGCAAACGTTGACAACACTCGGCCACCAATAACTCAGCGATGTCTGCGTTGTCGGCATAAAGTGGTGCAACGGTTGTGATGCCTGAACTCGCCTCCATTACGAAACAATAGCCCAACACTTGATTTCTATCATTAATGGCCACTAAATTGATATTATCTCCAGTTTTATAGGTCGCCGACAGCATCGCACTCCTGTCCACTCCATCGCACACTTCTCTATCGTATTGAATCACATCCTCAATATTGTCTTCATTGATGGCAACCAAAGAGATGCCATCAATACTATCGATGAGACCCTTTGGACTAAACGGTCCTTTCATATGAAGTATACGTTTTTGGGGAACAGCTTTGTATCCATTTTTGTCGCGATAGGTCTCAAACATCTTCTGNATTGATGGCAACCAAAGAGATGCCATCAATACTATCGATGAGACCCTTTGGACTAAACCGTCCTTTCATATGAAGTATACGTTTTTGGGGAATAGCTTTATATCCATTTTTGTCGCGATAGGTCTCAAACATCTTCTGATTGGCAGCAAATAGTGAGGCATTCCTGTCGCCCATGTGCTCCGAAACCGTATCAAAGAGTGCCTTTCCTATGCCTAACCCCTGGTATTCATGTCGGACGGCGTACTGACCCACAAACGACAGGTCAGGAGAGAGATTAACACCACTACAGGAGCCTAATATTTGACCTTTAATTCAAAGCACATTATTATTAATATGATATCAAAGGACAGAATATTCTGTACCGGAATCGGTGTCCTGAGCCACAAATATGCCGTTTGGATCCGTTTGGAGCATCACTTCATTGCCAAACCTGAAGAACTGAAACCCGACTGAATTCCAGATCTGTCGGACTTCCTCGCAGTCAGACAATTGGGTTTTGCGGATAATATATGACGGCTTCCGCTGATTACCACTCATTTCCTTAGCAATAGTTTGGCACAACTTCTCCGCGAAACTATTGGCAATAACTTTATTATAAGTTTTATAAACTTTTATACAAATAACATTCAACTTCTACTTTAATTAAATGCACAGGGCAATATGCACTTACAACTTGTAAATTACTGTTAAGGTTTAACATAAGGCATACATTGACTGTATCTAAGTTATATTGTCATTAAATGAACTTACTATTATGTAAAAATCGATAATTAAATTGACATACAAATTATATTATATGTAACTAGTATTACAGAAAATGAATATTAAATTGACTAATACTTTATAAATATTGAAATAATAAATCATAGATCTTACAATATATAAAGAAAATTGTGTACTTATTTAGTACTCGTTTATCTCATATTATAAGAGATGTTCAAACTTTGAACTTCAAAGCGATCGGATGAACTGGGGCAAATAGCAAGGCTTTATCCACTGACTTTACAGTATTATTAAACATACACTCAATTAGTGACCCTCGTTACTATACAGTTATAGTCATATTAGTAGACTTTACCATTAATTAGTGCAATTGAAAAATTAAATGTTCAGTTATATTAATAGCAACTTGAATAAACTAAATACATAAATGCAATTTAAAGTTACAGTTTGATTTAACCGTAAAAGTTGATTTAAAAGAATATTGTAAATACAAAATAGATGTTTATTAATGCCCTCTATAATTACTGTAAAAAAGTATAATTTAATTTTAAATTCACATTTACTTGAGATATACTGGTACAATATATTTTATACTGTATTTCTAATTGATAAAGTCATCATTAAACCACACTGTAAACTAGTCTACCACCCCATATATCTGACAATAAACACCTTCATACTTATTAGAAATTATTAGACAGAATCATAAATAATTACAAATAAAATGCAACTTTTTATTTAAAACTTTTTTTGTACTCAAAATTTAAATTATAAAAATTAACAAAAATCAATAACAGAATAACATTCAAAATGGATAATAACAAGTGGTGGTCTGGCGTATATAGAATAGGTATAGAGGGAGGTGATAGAAGAAGCACTTTCGCCAAGAGACAAGAGAGTGAAGAAACTCTGGGTTAAAGACACGGTAAACATACGGAAATCTCAACGTTAAGGTTGTGATCATCAAAATATCTTTCGTTTTATTTTGTGGCAAACGTTGACAGCATTTGGCGGCCAATAACTCAGCGATTTGTTCATTATCTGCATAGAGGGGACATATACCTGTCACACCTGTAGCCGTGTCTACAATGAAACAATAGCCCAACACCTCATTCCTGGCATTAATGGCCACTAAATGTATATTTTCGGGTACTTTATAGAGCGCTGACAACATTACACTTCTGTCCAAACCATCGCATACTTTCTTATCGTAATTAATCACATCTTCAATGTTGTCTTCATTGATAGCAACCAAAGAGATTCCCGGGATTTCAGTCATAATGTCTTTGCTTAGCATCAGTTGTCCTCTCATATGGATTAACAGTTTATTGGGAATGCATTTGAAATCATAGAGATCTCGGTATATGTCAAACATCTTCTGATTGGCGGCAAAGAGTCCGATATTAGTGTCGCCCATATATGCCATCGCTTTATCCCAAAGTGTTTTACCGATACCTAAGCGCTGGTATTCCTTTCGGATACAATAGCCGCCTATAAATGACAATTCAGGCGACAATTTCACGGCACTCACGAATCCCAAAAGTTTTTCTATAGTTATCATCAATTATATATTACACTATTAATTAATTTATAATAACTTAATAGATTATATACTGTCATTACCTGTATTAGACTCCTCGACAACGAATATACCGTTTGGATCCGTTTTGAGCATCACTTCATTGCCACACTTAATGATCATCGATCCCAACGATTCCCATATTTCTCGCACTTCATTGCAATCAGACAAACGCATGTTTCTGATTATGAACAAGGGCACTTTTCGGACGGACATTGTTTCACCTCAAAACTAATCACCGTAGTAATTTTAAAACTTTTTAAACAACTCTGAGTTCACTCAATAGTTAAGCAATTAAGGTAAGTGTTTTCATTTTATATAAATAAATTGGTAACTTTTTGGCACAACTTTTATATGTGATAGTAATCTCTGGTTATTTCATTCAGAATTTGATTATTATAATAAGTACTGTATTTATATAGTTTGGTACAAATTCCTACTTTAGTGGGAATTATTTTAATGTATATATTGAGCATATACTGATATTCTGTGTAGAAATTAGCATCAAGTTGTTATGGATGCCGTATGTACCCAATTAGCACTATTAATCACTATGTTCAATTTAAAATGTGGCTTTCAAAATGGGATTACATAACTATAGTACGAATTTGCACCAATATGAAAGTAATGCTATTTAGGAATAGTAGATTACAAGTTTATGACAAACAAAAGTAAATATTAAATACAGTATTGATACTGTAATGCAACATGCGCGTTTCACTTTATCATTACTTCATTAATAGCGGTGTAATCAAAATTAACAAAATACTGTTCATAGTCAATTACTAATTACTATTTTACTTTATTAAATTAGTGATTAGTGAAAGTTTATTTAGTGCATATTCAACTAGTTCAATTTAGTAAAATGTCATACCGTTTCTATCTAATATAACTTAATATATGAATTTCATTTAGAATTATATTACGAAAATTGTTTGAACTGGTTAATCGTTTATATAACAATTAACTTTTAAGTTTATAAATAATTTAATATTTTATTTATATCGTAGTTATAACTATTTGTACAGTATTTGTATAATAATTGTAGATTATTGTTAAACCAATTGTAAAATCAAATATTAGCAGTGATCTAATTTTATAAAATCAAAAAATAAATAAACTTGCTAAAGGCTTTAAACTACTTATGAACTATTAATAGATTAACTATTGTAATGATATTAAAAATGTGAAAATATGTACAACCAATTTATAAAATATATTTTATTCAAATTAAAACTTTAACCATTAAAACGAATAGAAGACAGCGCTGTGGATTGAGAAAACTTTATCCAAATCTCCGTTAACTATCTCTTTAGTAAATGATGTCAACTGATCCCTCACTACCTTTAAGCCTAATCTCTTAGCAAATTCATGGGATTTATGGTGAAAATTCCAACATTTGCAATAAATATCAGTAGTTTTATTAGCGGGTATGAGCTGGCAACATTTGTTGCCCAATAACTCGGCGATCTGTGGGTCATTTGCATAGAGAGGTTCAAAGGTCATAATCTCATCGTTTACTGTCTGTAAAAGGAAACTATAGCCCAACACTTCATTTCTCTCATTAACGGCCACTAAACTGATATCTCCCGGCGTTTTGGCGAAACCCGAAATCATTACACGTCTGTCTAAACCGCAGATTGCTTTGTCGTACTCAACCACAGCCGACACATTTGCATCAGTGATGGCAACCACAGAGATTCCCGCCATTTCATTGATAATGTCTGCACAAGGATTGAATTGTCCTCTGAAATGATGTAAATATCTATCGGGGATACACTTGAAGTTGTGGTGATCTCTGTATATCTCAAACATTTTCACAGTGAATGCAAAGAGGCCCACATTCCTGTCCCCCATGTGTGCCATTCCTGTGTTCCACAGCTTTTGTCCGATTCCGTGGCCCCTGTAGTCCGGTCTCACGCAATAGCCACCAATGAATGCCAGATCATCTGACAGATTAACGGCCGCCACATATCCCAACAGTTTCCCTGTTATACACAAACAGATTATTCAAAAATTGACACAATTTTATCAAAAACGTGTAGTCATTACCGGAATCGGTGTCCTCGACAACGAATATGCCGTTTGGATCCAAATTAATCATCACTTCATTGGCGTACTTAACGATCCCGAAGTTAACGGATCGCCATATGTCTCGCACTTCATCGCAATCAGACAATCGGATGTTTCGGATCACGTAATTGGGTTTCGCTGTCACAGACATTATCTCTTACTTTAGCAATAATTTTGTGTGAATTCTAGTTTTATTCCTCAATTTTCAATTCATGTTTGCAACTCTAATGTGACAAAAGTTTTGCGCAGTGAGAGTGAGTTTTCATGTCTTTTATATTGTGAATTACAATTTGTGATGAATATGGCACTAAATCATCAATTTCACAAATGCGATAATCATTCAGGGTCATATTTATTAGAATTCAATGTCTGTTTACTTTTTGAATGCATGCGCTTAAACACTGAATCGATATTTTTTGTTCAATATTTCCCAACAGAGTTTCGGTAGTGTCTGAACGCCTGGTATTAAACCATTTATTATTAGCGCTATATTTGTAAATATAAATTTTATTACAGAAAATATTACGCTATTTATTAATTCATACGATTAGATAAAAATATGAATAGTTAGCATCAATAGTTGTTTGGTACTGTTTATCAATGAATTGAGTTCACATGAGAATTTTTACATTAAAACATTTAAAGTGGAAACAAAAAATTTAAGATTTCATTTATTTACGTCAAATATTATAAAACAATAAATTTCTAGACCCTCTAATTATTAGAGTAATAATATTAGAGTCTAATAATAAAAGAAATTCAATATCAAAATTACAAAATATAATAAATGTTTACAAACTAATATAACAAATGTACATATAAATTATTATATAATATTATATTTAAATAAATTTAGCTGACATTAATAATATATTTTCTGATAACTTGTTTGCAAACTATTTCTTTCGCTTTTATATGAGTGAGATTCACATGTTTTGTACAGACATCGCACCAATAAAACCAATATTATGGCCAATAATATCACTATAATAACAAATATAATTAAATCAGTAATAAATCACAATTTATAAAATATTAAACTTATAAAAAATTTATTTGGCAATTAATTCTGTTTGAGTGACCATAAATTTAAAACTCTTTTAAATAAAATTAGATTTACAAGCATTTAAATATTAAGACAATAATCTTTTTAAATTCAATAGAAATAAAATTGTCTAGTACAGTATAAGTTAAATACGGATTAAAGTACCCATTAAAATCTTGATCATCAATATACACACCAACGTAAAGGCATTGAAATTAATGAAGGAATTTCCAGAATTTCCAGAATTTTCAGAACTTTCAGAACTTCCAGAATTTCCAGAATTTCCAATGTCTTGACACTCCTGGTCCCAGTCCTCTGGTATATGAGTGTCCACTGAATTAATAAACTCCTCTAAAGTGCAGTCAGATTTTGGATTACATTTGACTAGTTTTAGTTCCTCGTAATCATCACCGGATGTGGCGCTCAGAGAAATGTCATTGAAATACAATAACTTCACCACAAAGTGGTCGTCGATTTGATGCAATTCAAAGGCCAACGAAGCGGTATATGTTGGGGGAGTCCTGTTCACTGATTCATACACTCCCAGCGCTTGCATGAGAACCACTTGATTCACATCATGTGTCTCATAGACGTACAGCCGTTTGGTCGTCGCTTTCGTGGTCGAGTTCTTGATCTCATCCGCTCTCTGAAGCATATTGTGGACCAACTCCTCGACGAGAGGGCCGGCCCTCAGGCGCTGTATTTGCGGGTCTTTCCAATCGAAATAAAAGGCGTGTTTCTCGAGATCGCGTAACGTATCCAACGTTTGCCGGTCAGCCCACCCGGGCTTCTCGTACCCGCACTCCTGTTCCACCCTTAAAGTGGTCGACAAGAACTCCAGGGGTCTCAGCGGCGATGGCTTCACGTCCACGTAATTATCACCGGTTTGTGCGCTCAACCAAACCATGAAATCGCGATTCTTATGGATATAATCCGTCACTTCTTTGTCGGTTGTCATAAACTCTCTCCACTTTTCATCGGCTTTCGGACAGTCGGCCGAAGTCCGCAACAGTTTGTCGTCGGCGTTGATGGCGATCGGCTGCCAGTTCTTGGCCACAACGCTGTCGTTATTCCAGATCCAGGAGCCCTTCGGCTGATAGAGACCTGTCATAAAACTTTCGGCGCTTTCCAGACACCGGGAGGACGAGGAGCTCTTGACCGTCACATTTCGCGGCGAATCTCCCAAATAAGAGTCATATCTGGTCCGCAAAGTGACGCCAAACTCATACATACGAGTCTTGCCACGACTGGT